CCCAGCCATCCAATGCCAACATCGAGCTGGCACAACCCTACCAAGCAGAGTTTTCTACAGTTGATCGTTCCCGAGAATACAACGCCCCTACCCCTCCTTCGCATACCTCGGGCTACGACCAGGCTGTCACTTGTAGTAAGTAGGTTCAGTTCTACGTACCCCTTTTGAGGCGAGCGCGCTATTGGCATCAAGGTGGGCAGTGTCAATATACGCGCTTCCTGATAGTCATAGAACCAAACCAAGAAAACCGCCAACGAAAAAGTCAATATAATGTGACGAAAACCAACTGTTACTACCTGGAGACCTTCGTCTCTTACCAAATACCGTTTAGCGACTGTTTCGGTCTCTGCCCGCCTAGCTCTCGCCGCTTCCACTCGCCTTTCTAAATCTCGAAACGATTGCGTACTCCCAGTCCATCAAAGCGGAACATTGTAGCTTAACCGGAATCGAGACGCTTCTGTAGCCGCAACTGAAAGGGTATCAATCCTTCTGGTTTACGTGTCATTTCTCATTGAGGCAAGCCATGGGTACCAAAGACAACCACCGACAGCTCCTGCCATCATCGCCGGAATTTATCTCTCCCTGGGCCATTGAGATACTTCAGCCTTCTCAACAAAGATAAAGAACGAGATCGAAGTGAAGGTCAAGATTATTCTGCCGCCTGCATGTTCTCATCACATGGAAGCGTCATCTTCTGGAGAGAAGGTCGACATTAAGGCAATGTCCAAGCATCACCTAGCTTTCACAATCGACCTCGAAACATTCGACGATAGCTCAGGCTCTCGTCTAGAAAGTTGGAGAGGAATACACTCACTACTAGCTGGCCTTCCGAGAAGCTCAGGGATGATGGCAAGGGAATAACGACAGTGGCCAACAACCCATGGTTCCACCCCTACCGGAAGGTATTTCATCAGCCGACTGTGGGCAAGGCCTCGACTGAAGAGGGGCTCCAGACTGCTTTACAAGCATATCATGAGACATGATCAGTGATGATTATTGACTTATGTAGTCATCTGGATTGGTTAGTTGGTTCTTGGAGCGAGGCTGCCATCGGAGGGGGCAAAATAATCCAGGAGAAGATTACGGCAAGGCTGCTGGAGGAGGTGGATACAGCTGGCTCTATCAGCGAGAACAGATATCAAAGCTGGGAAGGCGTTCTCTTTCGTTTGGCGTTGCGACGGGATTCCTCCGCTAACATCGTCGCCCACCATCCGCTCCACACCATGGGGCCTCACATCGTGAGAAACGAACTACCCAAAACACCAAAAAGACATACAACACCAGGTATTCGCTGGTCGTCACCGACCCAACTACTAATCCGGCCCTCATTGGCTTGTCTATGGGAGAGCGGACGGGATCCCGAATTTTCCAATGGGTATGGTCGTATGTGGAAGAACGTGGTGTGTAAGTGGAGTATGATGCTTCGAGTAGAGCTGTGGCTACTCCTGAAGCGCTCAAACTTGGCGCAGTAAATAGACAAGATGTTAACAAAGGGCATTTAAAGCATTCCCATGCAATATACGAGGGGAAAAAGTCAGTTGCGGGCTAGAACAGTTGGTAGCGGGCCAAAGATGTCCATTGCGCTGAGATATTTGACCGTGGAGACGTAACATTTTTCTCACACTCATGTAGAGATATACAATTATCTTGGCTCGAGAAGATGTTAAACCACAATTAAATTCAGTAGGGAATGTGACTGGCTCATAGGCAAATGGGTAAGGTATGTGTTGCAAGTGAAGGTAGTCTTGATTTTGTCTCCTTATCTCAACTGGCAACTGGGCTGTCAGAATGTCGGTCGCTCGCTTGGTGTGAGGCGACTGCTCTCCATTGTCCGAGTATCGGAGTGGAAATGAATGAATGCGGCTGCCATCCAGACCAAAAAATACCATACACTAATCGTTCGATAACAAATAGGAGGAACCATGTCTTCGAAATTGGTAAGCTCTTGTAGCAAAAGCCGCCCTCGACCAGGCATCCTCCATGTGAGGAAAGAGCTTCACGTCAGCGACAGCCATTATGAGCGCACGAGCAACTCTAGAACAAAGTTAAAAACGATAACGTCAATTGTCTTGACTTCTAAGGGAACCTGAGTAGATTGAGTATCCAAGTAAGTGACTACCTGCCTCGTCGTCTCCCACCCTCTCTCTTACTCTCTTTGCCTATCCTGTAGATCCTGTACACAGATGCTTATCTCCCTAACTTAAATCTCTTGCCCTCAAAATCAGCCATCTCAAAAAACTAGCGATCATTTCACCTTTAACCTCAACGATATTTGGCCTCCAGAAGGGTGGCCAGACGTAGTGCGCACAAAGAGCGGTTGCTTGTGCCGAGAATCTCAGAAGAGAAAGGCTACCGACAAAAGAGCTTTCGAACAAATGAAATATAGAGCAGTATGGACTAAGTCTTGAGCGACTCAATCGTTCGCGTTTCAGAAGGCCACTGAGGAGAACCTCGCTCTGTTAAGGAAGCATGGCGGAGTGTTGAGAGCCGCCAGTCGTTGAAACGACTTTCCTCGCTATTAACTCAGTCAGATTGTATCCCTCGAGACTATTCCCAGAGGGAGAAGAACACTGTATTTGAACAGCCGGGGAGGAACGGGAGAGCCACTGATGGAGCTGTCGGACTGTCTCATCCGTTCGTGAAATCGACTCGTTCGAGGAGAAGCTCCCGTACAAGCATCATCGAAGGGCAATCGCCAGGTGGAGTTTTCCCTGTCCGTCACCGCCGACTATTCCCTCACAGACTGGGTCACCGAAGGGGAGATGAACAGGTGGCAATGGGAACCAGAGCTGATCGACATCGCTGTATGGACTGACTGCTGAACAATCAACTGATTGCAACTCAGCTAACACAAGTCTCGAAAGCCAAGGTCAATGAATGCCACCCATGTGTCAATCTCAGCCAGCTTCTCAAGCCGTGTATTAGTCTCAAGGATCATGTGAAGGCAGCCATTCCTAGCATCGGAGCAATTGTGAAGGGCTCGCTGACTGCGGCTATTCTTGCAGACGAAATGTGCCTTAGCAGGACGGCCATCATAACGACCACCGGAGCCACAGGTGCGTCTCACGAAGGAGCCGTAATGATAGTAGCACCAAAACGTGCCATTGACGTGTTGAATTTCGAGTTGAATAGTCATTTCGGAAGGGGATGGTCTACGACCGTCTACCCCAGCAGAACCTCTGCTCAACTTGAGGAGGGACACAAGCCTCGGACGCTCGTCCTAGCAGTCAAGAACATGACTTCGGCAGAGTTCATTCAGGAGCAATGTCATTACTTTCTAGTCACTTATCAATACGTCTTAGGGAGATATGAAGGAAGTTGGGTCGCCACAAAATTGGAAGTCACGCTCCCCTAACTCGTTCCTGTCCAGGATTCGATTCGGATCTCGATGAGGCGTGAAAAGGAGACTACCTCCTGTTCACAGCATCATGGAAACTCTGAGGTCTGGAATTTCTTGTTGTTTTAGGAGATGAAGCTCATTCACTATATGAATAACCTCACAGGAGAACTTGTCCATAAGGTCATGTGAATGCTCGACGTCAAGTCTGCACAGTCCCGGAGTAGAACGTCGCCGCCAGCAAAGCCCTTCAATATAAGGGACTGGTTTTGCTCTTCCAGCGCAAGAGTCCTGCTCACGGGTATTTCTTTGGGGTCTTTGGCGCATCGAACAGCATGAACCCTTCGAGTCAGCTTGTGGGATACCGTCTTTGGGCATTCAATGATGTGTTCGTCTTCAAGCGAGCAGCCACCGTCCTCTATGCGCCGCGTCTTGGGGTTGCACAATTGAAATCGCCGTACTGACGTATAAATTTCAGGGAATCTCCATGTTCAAAAACAGGTCGACGGGCGTCGCGCAAGTCCGCCACAAAGTCGTGCTGGGAACCGCTCCTCCTCAAGCCTGCGTCTTATCCTTCCCGCCGATTTTTACGTTGCTTGGGAGCAACTGCCGCGATGATGTCATCGGGACCAAAACGCCTCAGATAACGATGACAGAGATTACGGTCACAACGTTGGCGATATGAATGACGACGAAGATGCTGTCGTTCATCTTGAATCGAGGGAGTACAATGGTCTCCGAGCGTCTACAGCAAGTGGCAAGAAGCAGAAGTTAGGCAATCTCAAGCCCGAGCAACTCCTCGAGGAGTCTAGTATTCAAACGACCCTTCAGGTCGTCCGGGTCATTCTCGACAGAACTCCAGGCGCGAATATTCTGGTTATTTCAGAGGTGCTCGAGGCCCTGTATTGCCGGGTTGTGGCTTTCATGTTAGGTGTCGGAAATGTTCAAACACGACAGACCATGTTCCAGTTCATTTGGATTATCGCCACCGACAGAAGGAAGGAAGCTGGAAGGAAGTCACTCTCTTTTCAAAGCCCCAGCGACATGTTGGTCACTTCCAGGGCCGTCGGTCAAAGTGTCATGATGACCAGTGCTCACCACGTCATCTGATGCAGGTATACAAGATCAAAATGGCAAGCTCTTTGATGGCAAGCCGGGTGGTTTGATGGGCAGATCGGAAGAACGCGGATATGGAAGAAGTTCCTCGAAAAATAATGAGAGACCACATCACGAGGCGGACTTGGTGGCGCGGCCAGTGCATCAGCAGTCAAGTCCTGGTCCGTTATCCCTACAACTTCAGGAATAACGACGCCCGTTCTGGGCATCGCTTCTCTTGTGGATCATAGCAGAACCCTGGTAGCGACATAGACGTGGACAGCAAATGATATCTTTCGGTGAAGAGGGGAGGCTTTCGCCAGGCAAGGTGACACAAATTTCCCTTCCTTCTTGAAAGGATGGGAGGGGGGGTGAGGGTGAAGGGATGTCGGCTTGATGATACGTTGCGTAGTAAAGAAGGCCTTCAATGTTGGTTCATGAGCATCCTCCAGTATGCATATAATGTCAGTGGCCAAAGATGTGTTGATGCCTCCAGTCTCTCAAACGTTCATGCTAGCGCATAGCTGTCGACACTTCGAGCTTTTCCATGCGTTTCTCAGAGTCTCTCTGTTCTCGTCAGGGTCTACTTCCCTGGGTCGTTCGCGGACGGGAAACAGGAAGATTTACATCGTAGTCGCAGTACAAACCTTGGCGAACTCGCCCTCGACACCATGCTGGGTCTGCGAGCGAGGGTGAAAGGGAATGCGCCCCATGAGATGAGGCCAGGCTGAAATTGTTAAATCAGGCCGATTCCATCTCCTGGCGCCGAGAGGTCCTTTGACCAAGTGACAGTGGTAACGAACTCAATGCCATACACATTCTTGGGAATCAAAAACTCAACTTGGGTCGCCGAGGCCAGCCTTCGGAAATCCTATCAGTCATAAACCTATAGTAGCACTACTTTCGCCAGCATTCTATTAATGCTGTGCTCCGCGTTTAGTCTCTATATATCTATAATTATAACTTCTAATAAACTTATCATTTATACCATTAGCCTTATTATTAAAACTACCCATTACTAATATATTATGCCTCCCCGTATATATAAACAAAAGCCAGGGATAATTAAAATAATAAGGATAGTAGGGACAGCAGGGATAGTAGGTATAAAAAGGATAAAAGGGGCGGGAGGGACAAGAGTGGCGGGAGGGATAAGAGGGGTAGAAAAGAAGGTAAAGATAATAAGTATAAGAGAAATAATAAATATAATAAAAATAATTAAAATACCCTACTTATACGTAATTAAGTATTAGAGAAATAATACACGCGACGGGCCATAGATAAGAATAGAGGATCGAGTAATAATAAAGTTGATAAAATTAGTTCGAGCAGTTTCTTATAGAAGATAGTGTCTATGATGCGAGGGGATCATTAAGATACTACTTTCAGTAAGGCATATTGAATGGACGAGGCCGATGACAAGGCGCAGTCTTGTTGCTTGGCTACTTTTTGCGGAGAGAGACAATGCGCCTTTAACTGGAGCGATCACGACGCCCTTGGGTAAAGGCAAACAGTGTCAAACCAATCTAATGAAAGTCAGTCAAATGTGTATCCCGTGTAAACAAGCGCCGCTTGTTAAGGCACGTCAGCTTGACGTGTACACAAGCGATCAAATACTTCTGTGGTTGAGCCATTAGGTCGAAGGGAATCTGAATGTCCTCGATGACTCCAGAAACATTGCCTTGAGAACAGTTGACTTGCGCATCCGTGAAGTGGACGAGACCGGTCGGCTATCGGCCGCTATCCCGCTTTTACCGACATACTCCGGTATGATTGGCCAATCTGGATTGGCCCCACTCGGGGCCGAGTACCATGGCTTCGCGCCACATTGGGAACGACCGGTCCGGAGTTTGCCATGCTAGCAAGGTGTAATCGCAATGTGATGCTGTCATGAAATGCCATGGATGTTTTGGACTTGAAGAATGCTCACGACATGGACATAAGTCTCGCTTCAGTTGTGTGTGCGATGATAGGCGGGCTACCCCGGGGGAGCGCCGGATCTCGGGCTCGGCCGCCAACACTCAGATCTGAGGGTTTCTTCAGCTATACGATCACGTCGAGTGACAACACCTCATCGTTGCGGAGAAGTAACAAGCTGAAGAAGGTTCCGATAACCTTATGTGAAACCTAAAGGATGTCTGGAAAACTCCAACTTCTCAAGGTACTGGAAAGCTTCCTGATGTCATGGAATCGCGAATATGGCCAGGGCAGCTGGTCAACTACGGCAGGTATGAGTTGTGCTGTGAGCTGTTGGTGCAGCTAAAGATGTTATCAGGAGGGAAATACTCTTGGTAGGATGTGGCTGAACGTGGCTGGCATAATCCATGCATGCATAACACATCCACCACAACAAGATCACATCTCTCCAATTTCTAGGAAACTAGAATGACTCTTCTCACTGTTGATACGTCTTCCTCCATGCTAGACATAAGCCACTTATTTAGTCGAAAGTAGTGACTTGCTTGGTGGGTGGTAACGCGCACTCGCTGTCACACCAGTTGAACAACCATTTGCATAAACAATGCATCTCAAAAGCAAAACAACCAGCACCTCTTACTGGCCCCATAAACACGGACCCGCATTGGGACTAGCGCATCCGTCCCATGCCACCAAGGTCAGCAAACCCCACCACTCCCCGCCTCACCGTCCGAACTCAGCCATCCGCATCAAAAACTGGCCCCCAGCCAACATAGATACGTTCCTGAACGCAAGGATCATCAAATAAGATCAGGTAGAGTGGCCGAGTGGTTATGGCGCTGGTTTTAGGCTTACGTAATAGTTACCTTCACCAGTGGGAAACCGCGCGAGTTCGAATCTCGTCTCTATCATGATATCCTTTTGCTTTTTTGACATCTCAGCTAATGGGGAGATTGTGTATGAACTTTTGGTGGCTAGGCCTTTCCATTCTTCGTTTACATTCTCTTTCCTTGCCTAGAGCAGTATGTGTTTGCTTGGCATAGCCTGTTTCTCGGGGGTGCCGGGTTACTTTACGTATCGTCGAACCTAGACCTGAGATGCGGCTAGCCGCCCACCCATTCATTATTCCCGACAGCAAAGCCATGCGGCCATTCCAACAGCTGCGAATCGGGTAGGATGAGACGTGAAATTGTCTTTCGTCTCAGTGGTCACTGTCATATTGTTGCCCGCGCAGATCTCAGCAGATGAGTGTATGTCACGCTTGGCTACTATAATGCATCAAGGTATCTACTTTGCAGTAAGTGCCAGCAACTCTAATTCAGGTGTTCGCAAGCTGGAGTTTCCCAAGAAGACGAAAGACTCGACTTCTCGTAAACGCGTCTCGTCGCTGCTTCGCGGCTTTGGTCGCATTGGTGTTAGCTAAAGAGGCAACACTTTCGTCTCTACCGTGGTAGGCATGCTGGTACGGCATGTTTGTCCCCAACGAGGAAGTGCTACCGACAGTGAAGTTGCACGTAATTGCAACAATGGAGTTACCCATAGAGCCAATCCAGTCTCAGAACAGAAAATATTACTCGGCATACCTTGATGATCCTCAATAGCCTCTTTCGGCTCGATGGCTTACCTTAGCTTGTAGCCTTCTCAGACAACAGTGCCTCCAGGCAATTCTCTTGCTCTTCTTCGAGTCCCTGGGTGTATCTGGGGACGCTCGCCTATGGTGTGTGCCCGATTCCACATCAACATCCCACCACAAACAAAGGGTGCCTCTGCAAGAGGCTCCATGTTACTGGACCTCTTCATACTGAGCCTCTTCAGGTATATTATATAGAGAATACACTTAAAGAACCGATCAGAAAGACTACTTATGATGACAGTGATAGTGACAGGAGCAGTGGCAAAGGTAGTGCTAGAGGAAGCTGTAGTAGTAGTTATTGAAATAGAGGCTCGAGATGTGTTGACATATGGGCAATCCTATTGCATACTCCAAAGGAAACAAACAGTATGCTAAGAAATAGACTGAACGCCAGCTCAAAGATTAAGCAGACTGGGATACGTCTGTAAGTCATAGCCACGGACTTTGAAAAGCAAGCCTCAGCTTCACAAGCTCGATGTTGCGAACATGTGACAAGGCGGCTGGCGTGGCATAATCACAGTGAGGTATAAAGAGAGAAGAACCTGCCCTTCGAGGATCTGCAAAGTAGTGGACCTCGATACCTGATACCTGATACCTTCATTTACAAAACCTTTGAGGCTAATAGAGCACTCTGACAATGGTTATTATCTCTGGCGACAGATCACACTTCTCCAGCCAACTTCATGATCAGAGGCGATTCCTCCGAGCTCATGGTATGAGGTCTGCCCATTGCAACGACCACATTTTGCAAAGCTGGACCCTATGTAGGTCAATCACGATGGCCAGTGAGGCCAGGAGGGCATACTGACACCGGTATCTCCATTCTAATCCAAATTCCTTGTCTGCCAGAATTCATGGGAGACTCACTCCGACGAGCTTTACCAGCATAGGCCAAGCTCAACCTTGGGCTTATGGGAGTGAACCACCCGAAACATGCTTGTGCTGAAGGTTGAACTCGGGCAGTATAGCACACCTCAGTCCGAAGGGTGGATGCATCTTCACTGTCCATGGAGTCTTCACATCAAACCCACCGAGTGTTCCAATACTGACACTGCAGTATACGCATTACCCTGCATCGTATGTTCCTCAGGCCGACACGCCCCTAAACGGCTCTCACCCAATCCTCTATAGGCACCAAAGACGCAACAGCTCTTAACAAGCACCGTCCGTTATAGTCGATGGCCGAGCGGTACGATTCTATCGTATGTTGGCTCACGGTCCTACATAATGCCATGGATTGCTTGTTTTTTTCCTACAGAGGCTACGGGTTCGAATCGAACTCCATCGCCTCGCTTCCCCCCCCCCCCCCCCCCCCCCCCCCCCCCCCCCCCCCCCCCCCCCCCCCCCCCCCCCCCTCTTTATTGGTGGCGGGGGGGGATGTTTTTTTTTTTTTTTTGCCCCCCTCCTCCCAAAACCCCCGTGGTTTTTTTTTTTTTTTCCCCCCGGGCCCCGGGTTCTAAAAACCCCCCCCCCCCCCCCCCCCCCCCCCCCCCCCCCCCCCTTCTCCATCTCTCCCATGAGTTCGTGATCACCTGACCCTACTTGCCACGCACCGAAACTGTGGTACCGAAATTCCGCACCTGATACTCCCTACTATCAAAGATTCGCGCGGCAGGATTTGCGGCAACAGTGGCATAATCGATGGCGTCGAGTCCATCCGCGCAGACACGGCGGGTTAGTATTTAGACGCCTTGAAGGCTGCGATCTCTTGCTGGCAACAATGACCTAGAGGCCTTTTGTCCCTACCGAGACTCTGTTGCTCATCGTCACGGTGAGGTATACACGTGTCAAAGAGACAACAAGCGTCATCGGACGACATCGGGTATCGACGGCCGTACGATTTCGCCAGCGCACCTTGTGGACACCCACCAAAGACAGTTGACACGAGAGAGAATCACAAAACGCGTCAAGAAAATTCAAGGCTTCAAAAACTTTTCAGTAACCCGTCTATGCATAGGTATCATCATCATCATGTACTTCTTTTTATCAACCCCTGCGCACCCACATTCCCTTGACTAGAATCCAAATAGGTCATACCACTCATCCCATCCCTCTCTCCTCGTGCACCACGTCCTATGAGCTCTTACCCATGTTGGCGTCCAAAAGTTTGTCAAGGTCAGCCATCTTCTTGGCCGCTTCCCTCTCCTCAGCCTCCTTGGCAGCCTCCTCCTCGTAGCCCTCCACCTTCATGTCGTTCAGTCCAAGCTCCTCTTCCTCCTCGTGTGTGCGGTCGTAGTACTCGCGCTGGATGGATGGGTCAGGCGCGGGAGGGTCGACAAGCGGCTGAACGAAGCTGCTGGCGAGGGGATCGGTGAGGATGACGGTGAACTCGCGGTTACCGCTGATGGCCTCGTCGAGACCGTCAAAGAAGGCGGTCCACTTTGACTTCTCAGCAGGATCGAGAGAGTCACCGCCGGATCCACCGTCGGCTTGGAAGATCTGGCTCTTCAGGTCGTCGCGGACCTGGGTCAGGAGACCCTCGATGGTGGTGAAGCGACCGCCAAGGGTGCCTGGGTTGACTGACAGGTTGAGCTCGGGGCACTCGAGAGCGCAGGTCTCAGACTTGAGGATATCGCGGGCGAGATCGATTTGGCCATTGACCTTGATGATGATCTTTTCTCCCTTTTCGGGGATCTCACCACCGGTCTTGACGTCGTTGGAGCGGTAGCCGCACTCATCGCAGACGGTCGACATGAGGACGACCTGCTTGAAGTGGGGGATGTCAACCATCTTCATGTGTGTTGTGCATGAGTGCATGCAACCCGGACAGCTGGCGGGGAAACTGTAAACTTCGTTGGGAATGATGTCGCCCTCGGCGGTCAAGCCCGGGTTGGCGGCGGCAGCCAGCTCGTCGGCCTGTGCGGCAGAGATGCCCAGAGCCTCGTTCTGCTCGGCGCTGCGAAGGTACTCGTGCTTCTCCCACTTGCCAACACCGTCCTTCAAGTCGGGTGTGATGAAGGAGTTGCCGGCGGGGTCGTCGACGGTGACGCGGAATGGGAAAGAGCTGCCGTCGAGCATGGCGCGACCCTTTTCGATAATCTCGGCAATCTTGGGGTAGACTTCGGGCATCTGCTCCTTGCGCGCTTCCTGTCCAAAGTCGAGATCGTTGATGATTGTGCTGAGGAGACCCTCCACATTTGTAAGCTGGCCCTTGCCGGCGGGCACCTCGAGGTCGAGCTCGATGAACTTGACGGTCGCCGTGTCGGACTTGACAACCTGGCGCGCAAAGTCGTCCATCGCGGTCAGGCGGAGCTCGTAGTGTGTGCCCTTGGGCTGGATGGAGCCTGCAGGCTGGACTTCGCTGTTGGCGAAGCCGCACTCTTCGCAGGCAAATGACATGATGATGATTTCGCGGAAGTAGGGGATCGAGGTCAGGAGCAGTCTGGTGTTTCCCTGAACGCCAAGTTAGTAAGACAATCAAACAGTTGGGAGGCAGCGCATGCTCACGTTCTTTCCGCAGTTCATGCAGAGAGACTCAATCTCCTCGACAACCTTCTGGTCGTCGCCGCCATCGACCTTGGAGCCGATGGCCTCGAAGAACTCGTTGGGGGTCGTCTTGGAATCGGGGGCGGCCATGGCGAACGATTTGTTGTTGGTAGGTGTTTCTTGTGAACTGTCGTACTTTCTCTTCATTGCGCAACGACGGGGTCTCGTTGTCGGGTTTTTGTTATCGGGGTCGCGGGGGATCCAAGATTGACTCGGTGGGATGGCGATGGCGGGGTCTTGAAATTTTTGGAGGGGCAATCGCAGCTGCAGGCCCTGCAGGCCGGGCACCGATGTGTGTCATTGAGCGGGTCCCTGGGTTCCTCCCAAGGCAGGAAACCTTCGAGAATATTCCCGAGAATAGCCCGCCCGCTGGCTGGTTTGTCATGGCCGCCACCGATAGAGGACCACGGAGCTGGATGCCATATCTTAGCTAAGAGGCCAGATGTCGTGAGCCTCATGAAGCGAATGCTGTATAGACAAGGCCTTTTTCAACCCAGTCGACCAAAATCAGCAAGACTCAGATTTCTGGCCCCCAAAGAAGACGTCTTGGCTTGGCTAAGAAGAGCCTGCAGCCCTGCCTTGCGGTTCTTCGCACGCTTCTTGCTGCTAGAATTGGACGTGGCCGGTTTAGCTGCCTCGGCCACAGTGGCTTGTTGCGTCTTCGCCGCGGACCGGTGCTCAATTGTGGCCCGGCGTCTCACGGCCGGTGGCGGCGTAGGGAACGAAATCTTGGTGATGCGGCTGCACTTCCCACAGCTGAAAAGCTTTCGCGTGCCAGACCGCTGCTGAGGTTCGAGCTTCGTCTTTGATGCTTGAGTCGTGACACTACGTCTCTTCCTCTTCAATGCCTTTTCGGTCTCGAGCTTGAGCGTAGTGCCCTGACCGGGAACCATGATGTTACCGCAGGCGCCGCAGACGTGTTGTCGTTGAACGTCGTTCTGCTCTACGTCGTTGATGAACATGAGCTTGTTGTGGTGGCTCATCAGGTACGCTGAGGTCTCGGGGGCGGACGCCCTGAGGAGATAAGCAGCATCATTAAGATAGCTCAAATGCGCTGGCAAAGTCGAGGCGTCCATCCTCTTACTGAGATCCTGAAGAACTTGGTTTGGAAGAGAAATGAAGGTGACGATGAGAAAACAGAGTAAGTGAGTCCTAACGTATGGTACGCTGATTTTGGGTTGTTTGGTTGACGGTACCCCACTCCCAAAGCACTTAGGTACTCTGCGCAGTCCTCAAGGTGGCAGCCGTGGTGACCCCTGTAAAGTAGTCTGATGCCCCAACAGAGTCGCAACACCAAAGATTTTGGTCGCATTCTGCACTCAGTGAAGGATTACACGATCTTCAATGTCCAAGGGTATTCTTACTTCGCTTTAGACAACTTCCAACCACAAATCAAAGTCATGATGGCCGATGGGAAGGGAAAATCGCGAGATAAAAAACCCAAGCCTGAAAACCCAATATCCGCAGCCACTAGAGCTTGGCTCATCTCATTACCGACACAAACTCAACCATGGCAAAGCCAAGACGAGCTTGAGACTCTTCTCAACCAGCACACACCCAAACGCTTCACAGTCTATGAGCCCATGCTGTTACTCCCTAATGGAAGTTTCAGCAAGGGCTCATGGCCAATCATCCTCAACCACCCAGACGTCAGCGAAGATGAAATCCATCACCTGTGGGAAACAATCCTTCGAGACGTCTCCAAGACCGGCTCAACAACTCTGACGCATCTCGCCGTCAATGAAGGCATCCCTCTACAAACAGACACAGATTCGGATGGTTCGGCTTTGGAAAAGAACGAGAACATCCTGCGAACACCAAGCGGGCTCAAGATCCTCCATGGCGACTTTGGCCCCTCCAATAACCCCGCCAACCCCTCGCCCCAAGATTTTGAGGGAGCTTTCTGGGTGTCGACTAAGCAAAACGGCATACATCAAACATGGGCTCCTCGATGGACCATGTTCAGCCGGGGTAACATCAAAGAGAAGACGCGCCTCCTCGACTTTCATAGCCAAGCCAGTCCAGACACCACGTTTCCTCGCCGTCAAGTACTAGCACCTGCTCTCAAGAACTGTTGGGCGGTGGACATGTACGCAGGCATCGGCTACTTCACCTTCTCCTACGCAAAGCTGGGACTGAAGGTCCTCTGCTGGGAACTCAACCCATGGAGCGTCGAAGCGCTCCGCCGCGGTGCCGTTGCCAATGGCTGGCGAGTCAAAGTCGTCCAAGGAAAAGACCGGAACCTACCAGCTGCACAACTCTTCACGGGCGACGAGCAAATCACAATCTTCCTCCAGGACAACCAGCAAGCCAGGCCCAGGATAGGCGATATGCGGGCGTCGGGCACGGCAGTCGACATCCTACATATCAACGGCGGCCTTCTCCCCACCAGCGAGCCTACGTGGCGACTGGCCTGGGACATCACCGCGGGGTGCGAGAACGACTGCTGGCTCCATCTCCACGAGAACGTCGGCGTCCACGAGATTGAATCGCGGAGCGCACAGATCCAACGCCTTTACGACGGTTGGGCGGAAACGGCAAACGGCGGCGGGCGAGCCGCGACGGTCGAGCATGTCGAATTAGTCAAGACGTACGCGCCCGATGTATGGCACTGCGTCTTTGATGTACATATTACAAGATCTAGTAGTGTTACATGATCGTTTCATGAATCTCTCTTTCTCGTCGACGTCGTCATATCCTGTCCTGCCTTATGTATTCATCAACCCCGGCCCCGGCCCAGAAGGATCCGAAGCGGCTATGACCGACGGAACTTTTGCGGAATGTTCTCCTCCACGACGGCCATGTGGTCGAGCTGCTCTTGCCTATCCTGCGCGTCCTCCATCGCCTCATGCTTCTTGAAATGTTCGATATCTTCGGGGTGCGTCAGGTCTTCGAGCTTGGTGTTTTCGTCATGGTACCTAGATGAGGCGAGTTCCCGTCAGCTCCTTATTCTTCCTCCATGTTGATTGGAACCGCAGCGAATGACTTACTTCTCCCAGTGGTGAATCTCGTACTCGTACTCGTCGTCACCGTGGTGTCCCGGACCCATGCCGACGTCGGGAAGCGTCTTGCCGCTGGCGATGAAGGCGTCCCACTCGGAGCGGTTGACATTGCCGTCGTGGTTCGTATCAAGCAGCTCCATGAGGTCGTGGAGGATGTCGAAGCGCTTCTCCTCGGAGACGTGGTGATTCGTCTCGTCAAAGAGGCCGTATGTGCGGAGGATCTCGTCGCCTTGCCAGACGCCGTCGCTATTGTAGTCGTGCAGGGTGAAGAAGGAGGCCGAGTCCCAGCCTTCCATGTGGTGCTCCTCTGTAGATGGACGGAAGAATTAGCAGTCAGCAAACCCAGTCGCGCATATACTTTTTCGGATATCTCTAGGATTCTGTAACTCTTGCATACCAGCCATGTGCTTCGTCATCCAATCGGCGTTTTCATCGACTATGGGTTTCTGGCTGTGGTCGCCGCCGCCGTGGGCGAGAGCGCGGCTGGCGAGTGCCAGAGCGGCGAGGTATACGGTGTGCATCGCGGGTATGATCGCTGGAGGTACTTGTCGGATTGGGAGTTTGCTTTCCGTGTTAACGAGATGGAGACGCAAGTTTGCTGATCGTTGACGACACGTGTAACAATTGCAGACAAAAGGTCAGACACTCTTGAATGAGGTACACAATGGGAGCTAGGCGCCGCTGAAGTTGAACAAAGAGCCACCAATGGAAGGTTTTTGGGGGGCAGATCGATGGGTACGGTATCTAAGTACCTAACTCAAATCAAGGTTCAATTAAGAAAAAAAAAAAGGCTGAAAAATAGCTAGGCCAAGGCGGGAACTTTGCGGTGTCGGATTGCTAAGGAGAACACGGTGGACTGGAATGGGGAATGGAGAACCAGGAACGGGGGAATGGGAATATTCACAGGAACAGGTGGCGTTCCGCCATGGCCAATTCAGGGGATTGCCTTCGGAGCCTCATACACTCCCACACTTCCGTCCCTTAGCCTTTAGGGAGCGGCAGACGCACAGATCGGCGATTGACAGGGGCCCGCGGGGGGGCCACGGGGCTTAAACATTCTAGACCCGGGGTCGCGGCGTGCCAATTAAGCTTGGGTGCCTCGGTGACGCAACAAACCCATTCTCAACACCACCTCAGCTCCCGAACCCTTTTCTTCTCCAGCTTGACACTTGACGCCAAGAACCAACTCCGACCTTGCCCGCCAGCATAGGAAGAAAAGAGAAACGCAGCGAACACCAATTGAGGCAGCCGCGCATAAAGCAGCGTGCCAAGAGTCTCAGGGCTGATATCCAGCTCCTACGCGCCTCGACGCGTCTTGCGCCAAAAGTTCTTCAACCTATACAATCTCACTCCTCACAATGAATCGATCCATAGAACAAACGCTCCTCTCGCTGATGCCAACTCACGGCTCAGCTCTGCCGCCTTCCCTGGTAGAACTCGCGGGGTCCTTACTAGCACAGTCAAGACACCGAGCAAGCACATTAAAAGCAGACGAGGAAATCGGGCGGCTATACGCATGCGCTCACATCGCCTGCGATAGGTAAGCTCACACCCAAGCACAACCCCCTTCTGCTCGAGGGAGATACTAACACACGCACTCTGCCAGACTCAAAATCAGCCTAGACCTCCCCCCAATCGAACCCCGACCGCCAATCCCCCCTCGAATCTACAAGCGCCTCTACAGCCACCTCGACAACATCCTCCCCAACACAGCCCTCAACCGCACCCCAGGCAAGAACGGCACCCCGCGCAACAGGCAACGCCACGGCGTCGACTCCCCCGTCAGGACACCGCACCGCCCGACCCCGACAAAGGACAGATCCCTCGCGCAGTTCCGAACCGGCGGCAACTCGGCGGCAAACGGCAGCGTCCCCAACACCCCGACGAAATCCACAGGCAAAGTCGCCTACCCGTCCGACAAGTCGGGCCTCCACTTTTGGATCCAGCCGACGATCCGCCTCATGTGCAGGGAAACTAACCAGAAGCACCTGGCACCGACGATGCTGGCTGGCATGGAGTACGTCGTCGTCCCCGGCGGGCTGCGGACGCGTGACGCCTGGGTGCGGGAGAACCTGGCCGCGCTGTGCGGCGCCGTGTATTTCTTTGTGGCGCAGCAGGTCCGGAAGCTGGCGACGGGGGAGGATGTGGATCGGGAGAACTACGTCCCTGCACGGAAGCAGGTGCTGGAGCTTTTGGCCAAGGCGAGGGAGGAAGTTGATGCGCGCGGGTTGGACGAGGATGAGGCGTGGGAGGGGTGGGCGCCGGTCAAGAGCAAGGACTTTGATGCTGCGGTGAAGGAGGTCTCGGAGCGGGGATGGTTGGACGCGGATTGGTATCGTAGTTTGGGGGATGTGATTGAGGCGGGCCATGTGATTGCTGATAGCCATGGTCGGGGAGGGGATAATGCGGGTGCGTACAAGGCGCCTGTACGCGGGGCGGACACAATGTTTCTGGAGCGGTATGATTTCTTGAGCGAGAAGAAGCGCAGGGATTACAGAATATGGAAGGAGAGTATCCTGAGGAGGATAGACTTGATGGAGGAGGAAAATGGTGATGCCATGGAGGTAGATGGCTAGGGAGGGGGGGACGAGAAGGATATCAAATACCACGACGAAGATCCAAGGGAAATGCCTAGACTGGGAGGCACTTTGTCATATGAGGCTGTTGTTGTGATTAGCGGAGCCGGTCTGCCGGACGCGGCGACGATAAGCTGGTCAGTTGGCGTTCGAAAGAGGCCATCAATCTGTTCGGTCACTGTTGCTGTGACTATCACGACACTTTCGCGGAAGCCCTTCTACAACTCCATGGAGCACTGATGAAGCTACCCAGGGGGTCAACCTACCCTCTCATTGTTCCGCAAAAGTCATGCCCATGTTGTAAGCCCATGTTGTAGGACTGAAACTCTAGCTTCGATCGTCGGAGTGAACCCAACTCTCTCAAGCGTATCGTTCACGCGATTTTAACCTGGAATATCCAAAGTTCTCAATGGCAGCGCGAAGTACAGAGTGAAAACTTCAAATTCTATAAACGATATGTGCATGCTACTTCTTTTTCAAACCATCGTCATGAGCATCATCCCAAAGAACTTCTTCCCCCTTTCCACCCCCAGGCCAAGAATCACTGATCGTCCTCGAGCCCAACCATCTTCAAACTCTCAACCCACAACCTCTTCTCCGCCTCGGGGTCAAACGCCGCCGGCGCGTACCCCGGAGCAAGCATCCCAGCATCGGGCTTCACCGCCTCCGCCTCGGCACAATCCTCGAGGTACTTGCCGCCCTTGCCCTCCCACTCCTTGGCGACGGCAGCCCAGACGGAGGTGGCGGCCCCCTGCGCGGGGCTCTTCATGATCTTGTGGACGGCCGGGTCCTTGATCATCTCGATGATCTCGGGCTGGTGGCGCTGGAGGGGCGTCTCGATGCCGCCCGGCATGAGGCTGAGGGCGTGGAGGCCGCGGGCGCCGTAGCGGCGGTCGAGCTCGTTGGCGAAGAGGATGTTGGCGAGCTTGGCCTGGCCGTAGCCCGCCCAGGGGTGGTACTCTACAGTGTGGTCAAAGTTGAAGTCTTCGAATTGGATGCGGCCGCCGCGGTGGCCCGAGGAGGAGACGGAGATGACGCGGGAGTTGAAGGTTGGTGTGGAGGAGGCGAGGAGGGTTGACTTGAGGAGCTGGAAGAGGAGGAAGTGGCCTGGATTTTGGGTGTTAGTGGAATTGGAGCCCCCTCTGTTGGCATCGTGAGTTGAAGTGCCTACCGAGGTGGTTTGTGCCGAATTGGGTTTCGAATCCGTCTACGGTCTTTCCCTTGGGGCAGGCCATGACTCCTGCTCGTTACATTAGCTCATGTTGAGACCCCTTTTCACCCGTCCCCTCCTCAAATATCACATACCAGCATTGTTCACAATGACATTCAGCTTGTCCGACTTTGCCAGGAACGCCTTGGCGCCCTCCCTCACGCTCTCGAGAGATCCGAGGTCCAACTTGATGACCTCGACCTTGCCGGGCTTGCCATCCGAGAGAATATCCTTGGCGACCTCGTCGCCCTTGGCAACGTCGCGGACGGTGATGTAGACATCGGCGCCGGCGACGTGAAAGGCCCTAGCGGTTTCGGGGCCGAGGCCGCCGGGGGAGCAGCCGGTGACGATGACGACTTTATCGGTCCACTTTCCGACGAGGCCTTGGTCTTCAACAATTTGGACTCCCGTGGGGCGGCTGTCGTTGGGACCGGAGGTGTGCTTGTGTTGTTCGGCGTAGGGTGCGAGGATGGACATGGTTGCTTTTTTCGAGAGAAGGGTGTATTTTTGTGATTTGTAGCTGTGGACTTATACGTCTTCTTCGTGATTGTGGAGTAGGTTGTTTGTTGGAGTTTATGGTTCTTCTGTGCGTTCTTGTTAATCTGATTGATGGTGATGATGATTATAATTCGAGGTGATGGGAGGTTTCGTCCAGTATTTATTTACTTCGTCAACCCCATGTCTTGAAGTTAGTTACATGACGATGTCTCATGGGGGTGCGGCCGACGCGGCCGCACTGACCGCATGGGATGCGGAATGCCTGGAGCTAATGACCTTAAAGCCGCATTTGCTAGGGGAATTTCTGGATTTTAGAATTAAAGTTTAGTGGCATCGATGCCATCCCACCTTCTTTCAAGTTCCCGGTGGGATTGCTATTGATGCACCAGAAGTAGTTGTAGATTTTGTCTTCTGGAGAGCCAGAAATTCATCGTGGCTCTTTGCTCACAACTTGAGAATAAGAGCATTGTTGAGCACTTCCTATACGGTTCTATGTAGTCGATACTTCCTAGCACCTTGTTTTCTGAGCCTGATACCCGTACTCCACGGTCCGTCGTTAGGTAACGACCAAACATTTCAACAGCTAGGCTCTGTCGACTTGGCTGCAAGCTCCTGACGGACAGTCGTGCGGACAAAGGTCCGCATTACATAACACCCCGCGAGTCCGCAAATGTGGGCATCATTGCAGGATGCGGACAGAATTAAGACCGACGCGGGATTGAAGTTGACTAAGGTAAGGTACGAATACGTAATCAGGCCGGAATTAGGTGATAAGATGGCGATGACAACCTGCCTTACGTAAGGCACATTAGAGGGAGTCTCAAGGAGAGCAATGGAAGCACGTGATGGCGGAATTAAGGTCTCGGGGCAGACGGCACGTGCATCTCGACCCACGCCCGCCTGAGAGGCATCAAGCACCTCATCACGAGCAAAATAACATCGTCCATCCCATGTCCAGACCCAAGATGACGCACCGAGAGCCCGTGCCGCAGATTCAGTCTGATGATTAACAAGGTGTGCTGACAACCCGAGCCTGAGGTCCGGGACAGAGTCAGCAAGTCAGGTCCTGAAGTTCGAAACTCGGATCGATCCCGAGGGCCGGTGTCGTCTGTGATTGGAACTCGGGGGCGGGCGGGCAGCTTTTGGGAAGCTCACCCCTGCTCCCCGCTCTTATGGACCCTACACCTTTTGAGGTTGTTCGTAAGTCCGGGGTGCCCAGGGCTGTGCAGGGCATGGCGAAGCTTCAGTGCCCCCAAATTTTCAGGGACCATGGAGCCATTCCCAAGGTAGCCTTCCAGGGTGGGTGAGCTGAGGAGCTATACGGATGATACGGATACACGAAGCAGGTGAACAGCTTATACGTGCTTATGTACAAAGCGAAATTTTCTCGCCTAGACCGGAAGAGACCGGTAGTGAGATGAAGCTGAGGAAGACGAATACTGGTAATCCGAAAATAGAGCACGATGAGCAAGACATGTCGACTAGATTTTGTCGCTGTTCATGACATGCGAGTCGCGTCATGAAAAGATTGAAACACCACCGCGGCTGTTAATCTCCACGTTATTACAAGTGCTTACTCGGTTCATGACGTTACCAGCCAGGAAGCACCTTGGAAGTTGACAAGAGAAATGTCCTGGTCTTGGTGAATAATTTAGTACATTGAACGCGTGTGTTCAGATACGAAACTACATATCGATGAATAAGGTACCAGGGAGGATGGTATAGGTACGGCTTTGAGTTGGGCTGCTCATGTTGAAGGTGTTCGCCTAGAAATCCTCTATTACCAAACATGGGAAAATACAAAAATCGATGCCCAGTGCACTTGCAATAACCACGGCCTCAATCCCAAACACCGGGTATGCGAATACAGGAAATAGCCATCTGCTTCCCACTTTCCACATTCTGTTATCGCTCCTACCCAGATAGGTGCCAAGGCTCTGCTCTCAGGCTGTCAGGGTAAGGTAGAGCTAGAACTTACACGACACACTGCAATCGTGTTGGAGGCATTCCCCGCATCTTTCCAGTGCGCCAATCGTCCCAGCAATCATTCCCTAGTCCTTAACCCCCTACCCCTTCTAGGCTTCTAGGTAGGTAAGTATCTCTCCCTAAGTCTACTTCCTTGTGAGTACCTCTTCCTGGTCCCAGCCGCTAATTTGAGTCGAATCAAAACAGATGATCCAGAAAGCTTCGTTGGAAGACGCAATGTTGGCTCCCGTTCCCTCCGCCGTTGGACACCTGTTGGTCAAGGAACCGATCCAAACCAAAACATCCCCCCAGATTCCCGCTCAGACACCGTTATCCGACACGCAAGCCATCACGACGACTGGCCCTCCAACTTGGACACCGGGCTCTGCTTTCCAAGTCCCATACTGCCACAGACGCACTCATCTCAAGTGTGGCTCAAAGGAAGAGGCAGTACCACCACGAAGCCCCCAAGTATACTCCTTGTACCGATCCTCTCATCTCTCTGCTGCTCACCCCCCTGGTAGACAACCCACAGCTCAGCGGCTGAGCAGCATACTGCCCAATCACTACAAACATCGACACACCAGGGGAGAGTGAAGCGAATCCCACACAGAGCGCAAACTGCCGCCTTCGGAGCCTGATCCATTGCAGTGCAAAGCCCAGCATAGCAGCCAGTCAGTACTGCACGAATACCAACAGGGGACTTGCCATCTTACACCCATATCGACGCGCATTGGTGCACATGGGAAGCTGAGTGTACTCCCCAAACACCTCTTACACTCCGAGGAAGAGACGAACAACGAAGGGAAGAAAGGAAGAAAGGGCACAAGACAACGAGACAGCGGAAACAACGGCGGATCAGCAAAACAAAGTTGGCATAGACAGACCAAGGGCCGTGTGCAGTGCCCATCTCTACCCGCACAGCCCCCCGCCACATCGGGCCCCTCCACCAACAACCAGCCTCCCAGTCTACTACGTCTGTACGGATCCAATACGTCTGAGTACTCCGTACAGATACCTTACCTCGAGAAAGCTGTGGTGTCTACTCCGTCCACCCTCAAATCGCCAAGCTCAGTGTGCCACTTGCACGACTCCATTCGCAACCCACCACTCATCCCAGAGCATCCCTGGCCCGATTTGACCGAGCGAGCCTCGCGTGTTGCTGCTTCCGTTGCGACCACTGCTGCTGCTTATGCTTGTCTTGGGAAAATCGATGCAGAAGCGAGAATAAGCTGCATCAGCCCAGCTGCACCCACTCAGAACCTAGGTGCCCTATTTAGCTGCTTCACCTTGCTGAGGTACACAAGTCGTGCGACCTTGTGGCCTGGGCTGAGAGGTCTTGTTTCTGCTGGTCACTGCTCTCGATTCTTCTTCTTTTCCGCCCCCCATTTTCGCACTCTCTCCAACAACCGCCCGCCGGTCACATCTCCAGACTCCGGAACAGGGCGCCGCTTTCTACAACCCCTCCGACCTGACTTTGCGCCAACTCCCATCAACGCCCATCTCGACGCTGGAACGCGCACTGCTAGCAGTACTCCCCACAGCGCCCGACCCGACGAAGCCAAACCCCAGGCTACCGGCCAACTGCGATCCGTTCATGTAATGCCGCCGCTTGGCCTTGCGCTCTGCTCTTGCTGTTGCACGTCCCCGATAGCTTGGACTCAACTGTCTGGACCCCACACCCACCAGGCGGCAACGCGCGCAGCGCCTAGGAAGCACGACTGCCGCCCACCGACACACATGAGAACCTCACCTCTATCATCCGCCCAACGCCATTACCACTTTCACGCCGACGAGAGACGCATTCTGGATACTCTGGCGATCCAGCCAGTATGGCCGCCTTCGTGAGGGTTTCTGGTCCGCCCAACAGCAGCTTTCTGGTCGGCTACCCGGGCATTTCTGCGACGCTAGTACGTTGGACCCTCTGTGATGACGTCGGGGAGGCTGATGTGGTCAAATTACCCTTTGCGCGCTGTTTGCTGACACGTTTCTTTGCTCGCAATATAGCCCCGAATCGAAGGCAAAGTCGAGATCCGTCCATCACAGGGCTATTCCATGCCCGTTTCCGTTTCGCTGGTGCGCATTTGTCTACAGCGGAGAGAAACAATACACCCCGCCGCCGAGAATGTTGCGAAGAGGCACCTGGGAACCCCGAGAAGGGAAACGACGGACGTAGTCGGCAAAGAGCTTCTGCTGTTCAGATGTCAATCAGGAAAGGATGCTGAGAGCGTCATTGCGATGGATCTGCCGTTCGTCCTGTTCATCCCGTTTGGAAGAGGTGGCGAAGAAACGAACCGACGAATACCCCCGGCATCATTGCAACTCCCCAGCCGAACGGCCGAGACGTACTACGAGCTTGTTGTTACCGTGCAACAAGGACACACCCTACAGAACAAATACTCCTTTCCTATACCACTCCAGCGATACGACACTTTGTCAACCTTCGGCATGTACAACAAGCCAGAGTCGAGGCAAGTCAGCGACGCAAGCGTTGTCACACTGGGCATCTCGGTCCCCAAATGGAGCTACGGCCCGCTAGACCCGATAACAGTCTATATAAAACTAGTACCCAATCCCGACTGGATGAAGAAAGCGTTGAAGGTTACGATTCAGAAGATCACCGTCACCATCGAGGAGGAGATCACGTACAACCCAGAAGGCGACGAGCCTACGAAAAAGGTCAACAAAGTTGCCAAGAACACGCAGTTGGTCAATACGAAAATGCCCGAGGCTGGATATGCAACAAATTTGGGCTTAGTGTTTCCCTCCAAGGACTTGCGCGATCCGGACGGCATCATTCGCAGAGGAAAACCGGCGTTTCCGCTCTATGAAGTTACTTCGTTCACGACGAGCTCAACCTTGTACAAGATTGAGTTTTATTTGACGGTCAAGGTACGTCTATCAGACTTTGCAATAATTTACCCATGCTCACAGACTTCACCAGGCGCAGCTAGGATCGACCAGAGATTTGACCGTCAGGCAGCCGCTGGTTATTTGTCCAATGGACCAGCAAGCGTGTAAAGAGGAAATGGACGCCATCGAACAGGCTGCAAAGGACGCCTCGCATGTCGACCCGAACAACCCTATGCTCCCTGCCCGGGCGATTGTTTTAGCGAACGACCGAGAGTCTCTCAAAACGTTGGGATTATGTCTGGTGGGAGGGCAGAAGAAACCGCTGATTGAATGAACGACTGGCCGAAACCGTACGGAGTAATTGTATGAATTGCGTGGCGGAAATCTTGGCGCCGGGCTGCGGGGTACGAGACCAGCCAGTCGAGAGGGCTGGCGATCTACCCCGTAACAGCAAGCTTATATCTGATAGGGCTGGTTAGTTGCATACTTGCTTCTGCTTTCCAGTCACAGATTTTGCAAAGCTGTGGCCCCGTGACAAGGTCGACTGAGCCGGCGCAACTGTCGGAATTGAAGAAACCTGCTCAATGGATGGGAGGAGGCCAAAAAGGGAGACGGGATTGATGTGGTGGCGACCGATTCTGCGCCATGCATACGTACCTGGACGGGGGGACACGAGTTTTGGGAGGCAACGAATACCCCTCAATGGTTGGGTATTCTCGTGTCACAACCAAGGGGCCTGCTGTCGGCGTTTACACGGACGGCCCTGCGGTAATTCGACAGGACATGGCATCATCATCACGGCACGGCACGGCAAGGCAAAGGCGTTGGCGGGGGTCTTCCGGGTGAAGAAACACTCGAAAGAGCCGGTATATTCAGGCTCCTTGTGCATTTTGGCGACGCACGTTTGGATGGATGTGATTATCATGAGATGACGAAACTTGGACGAGGAGGCGATGTGTGTGTCTTGAGTTGAGTTGCCAAGGAGAGGGAGACTTTTTATTCGACGTTGTACATATTACTCACGAATAAGAGACGTAAAGAGACAAGCAACTCGGGAGGTTGGATGATGAATCGAGGAGTACTCCCATTTGCAACATGCACTCCAAGTGAGCGTAGACTTCACTCACCCTTGCCAGGGACGAAAAGCGGCGATATCAAACAGCCAAGGTAAGACGCATTCTGAATGAATGAAATTGCCATTGAAGTTAAAAAAAAAAAAAAAAAAGTCTCCTGCTTTATGCGTTGAAACACTATGAATACACGTCCGCCCCTTGCCCCCAAACATTCCTGCATCTGCGTTTCCTTATGGCTTGCGGTCTCTAACCCAGACCATAAAACACACCATACACCAATCATCCCCCCGTAGTTAAAGTCTTCTCTTTTTTTCTTGGTTCTTTGATACATGCTTGATAAGAAGTGGAGTCGGATACATGCCTCTATCGGCCATATCGATCAGGTTGTCTCCCATAGCCATCTTGTGGACGCAGTTGACCGCGCTGGAGCATCTCCTGGTGTTGTATCTCCCGAGGATCCCGAGGATCTCGGGGGTCGCGGCTCATTTCGCGCATCTGCATCTCTCTAGGATCCGGAGGGTAAGGTCCCGGAGGCGGGCCACGTGAATCGTATCCTACGGGCGTGTAGCTCCGGGGTGGCATCTGGTCCCGGGGATCTCTAGGCGCGGGCGTCGATGCATACCGCGGCGGGTACGCCTGTTGACCTTGAGGCGGCATTGGCTCTGGTGCGCGGGAGACGGGCGGGTAGCGACCTTGCATTGGGTGTTGGTGCTGAGGCGGGATCTGACCGTACATGGCCGAACCTCTCTCGTCTCGCATCGACATGTGGTGCCCCGGCGGCGGTTGTTGCTGTTGCTGTTGAGGTGGTCCGGAAGCCCAGGATTGTTGCGGCATGGCCGAGCCCGTCGGAGGTGCCTTTTGCGCCGACATATGCGGAGAGGCCCAGTTTTGAGGAGGAGGTGCCTGCTGAGGTTGCTTAGCGGGCTGCGCGTGTGACGCCGGTGGCCAAGAAGACTGCTGCTGCGGCGGTTGCGGCTGGCCCATGACGTGTCCCTGAGGTCCAGGAGCCCATGCCGATTCCCTGCCTTGCGGGGGGAGCGTTTCGCGTCTGGAAGCCGACTGATGTACGGCGTACTGAGGCGGTGGCGAGCCAGCATGGGAAGCAGGTGCACCGTACGCAGGGTACGTAGTCTGAGGTTGATAAGGATCTCTGGGGTCCCTGGGGTCACGCGGATCACGAGACTGGGGCTGCGGCGGATAAGGCTGCGCTACCTGAGGAGAGTTCGTCGCTGGAGGCTGGTGGTACTGATGGCGGTAGTAGTCCCTCTCGACGGCTTGCGCCGCATCATGAGGAGATGCAATGGCTGATCTCGGGGCGCTCATGTGCTGCGATTGGGGCGAGGCAGTGTAAGTCGGCTTCAGAGGAGGCATCGCAGAAGCTGAGGGAGCGTTCCGGCCATAGGGATAAGCTGCCTGAGGAGGCTCCCGCTCTGGCCGTAGGGGAGTCGGCACCGGCGCGGCAACAGGTACTCTAGACATGCTTTGTGGTGGCGGCGTCGGGGATGGCTTGATTTGGGCCATGTCATTAACACGCTTGGGCTGAGGCGGGGGTGTAGGAGCGGCAGCAGCGGCAGCCGCTGGTGGGTCGTCGTTGAGCAACGACATGATGTTGGATCTCCTGTTCTCCGAAGCTGACGAGCGAGGCGGGGGCGCGGCCGCTGCTGGCGGCGGCTGTTGCTGCTGGGGAGGAGTGCCATAAGAGTCCATATGGGTGGGCATAGGTCGTTGAGCTGCAATGGGCCTTTGGCCAGGGGGTGTTGAGACAGACGGCTGAGGGTCACCCAAGAGTCGTCCACCTGGCTGAGGCATAGGCTGGCCGTAGCCTTGCGGGACTGGGGTAGCCGTTGCCCGCGGCGGCTCGGCAGGCTGTCTTGCCACAGGTGGTTCAGATCGAGGAGGCGGCACGTTGCGCACCGGTTGCTGACCATAAGAGAATGGCTCGTAATGATGCTGCGGCGGTGTCATCTCAGGCTCCTGCTTGAGGCGGGAACGTTCGGCCGGGCGTAGGTGTTCCTTGGCTTGTGCCTCGATCTTCTGCCTCTCCATCTGTTGCCTCTCCATTTGCTGTCGCTCAGCTTGCTGGCGCTCGATCTGCTGCCTCTCCATCTGCTGTCGCTCGATCTGCTGCCTTTCGATAGCTTCTCTCTCGAGCTGTTGGCGTTCGAATTGCTGTTGCTCGATGCGCTGGCGCTCAATCTGCTGGCGCTCAATCTGCTGCCTCTCAAGCTGTTGACGCTCCATCTGTTGCCTCTCGATTTGTTGCCTCTCAATTTGCTGCCTTTCCAGTTGCTGTCGCTCGACCTGCTGTTGCTCTATACGCTGCCGCTCAAGCTGTTGTCTCTCCAACTGCTGTCTCTCAACTTGCTGCTGCTGCTCAATGGCTTGTCTCTCCATCTCACGTCGCCTCTCGGCCTGTTGTCGGTCAACCAGCGGGTCAGGCTGCACAGACTGCACAGGTTGTGCGGCAGCCAAAGGCCGCTGCTGAGCGGGCTCGGTGACTGGGGCCGCAGGTGGCTTTTGCGAGATCCTGACTGGTTGAGGGGGTTGGGTCGACTCTCGTTCTCTCTCCTGGAAGCCAAAGGCCTGCTGAGGAGGTGCTCGGGGTGGACGAGCAACCGGCGACCCTGACTGTGATACTGGCTGGGCAGCTGGTTGTTGCTGAGCAGGGACTGGCGCCTGTTGAGGAGCTTGAGGAGGGGCCTGGGTGGCAACCACGGCAGGCGGAGGAGCTTGAGCAAGGGGCTGTGGCGGTTGCGTTTGCTGTTGCTGTTGCGCTGCCGGCGTCGGTGGTGCCGGCGTAATCGGCATCGCAAAGCGACCAAAGGGTGGTGCTCCAGGTTGTTGGACGGGAGGCTCGACCTTTGTCACAGGAGGCTCGCTCGGCGGTTCGGATGCAGTCGTCGGGGCGGGAGTGGCAGGCGCGGAAGCAAGGGGTCGATGTGACGAAGCCCCAGGCGTTGAATCGTATTTCTTGCGTCCACCGACAGTGGGCGGTGGTGGATCTGGTAGCTTCTCACCTCTGCTTCGTTTCGCGTCAGCCTCGGCAGCGAATTGCTCCCACTCAGTCTTGCCCTGGTCTCTCTGTCTGACGAAGTAGTTCTTGACCATGACAGCTGTCTTCGAACCCATATGGCCCGCAATAGCTACCCAGTCAGTACCGAAAGACTTGAGTAGCCCAGGGAAATCATTTGCTTCAGACACACTCCAGTAGCTGGACGCCTGACTGGGGGCACGACGTTCGGGTTGCGGCTGAGCAATATCGAAAGTCGCAACGGTCGGTTGCGCGGGAGGTGGTGGTGGCTCGGGCCGTAGTGATGGAGGCGCCATGACTTCGGATATCGGTGAAGGGGTGATGGGAACAGGGCGCTCCTGGACAACCAGAGGGGCCTGTTGTTGTTGAGTTGGAATCAGAGGAGGCTGAACGCCGGTAACCGGGGCCTCGAATTGCGAGGGCAGACGATTCTCCATAGGCACAGGCGGAGGCGGCTGAAACTCAGTGTTCTGAACTCTAGAGTTCGAGCGAGACCTTCCTTTGCCTGTAGCGGGCGTGGGTGCTGCTGCAAGAGTCTGCTGAGATTTAGGCGCCTTCGGCTCCTTGTCTTTGGCTGCCCTCCGTCCGCGCTTCCTACCGTCGACCTTTTCGGGATCAGCCTTGGCTCCGCGCCGGCCGGGTGTACCGGCTGGTGTGGCGTTGTCGGAATCCGTGGGCGGTTGCTCGAAGCCCCATGTCGGGGCAGCAGCACGACGTGGACGTCTCCTTTCTCCGTTTTCGCCGTTCTCTTGGTTCTCCTCTCCCTCATTTTCGGCGTTGCCCAGCTCCGAGACAAGCGCGCTTGAGCGGGTCTTACCTCTACCCTTCTTTCTACGCTTGGGTTGCTTTCTAAGCTTCTCCTTGAGGTTGAGATCCTTCTTCATCAGATAGTAGTACTGAATACAGGTACCGAAGTTGCGCTTAGGTACGTTTTCAGCGACGACTCCCCATTGCTTCGGGTTCGTGAGATATCTCTTCTCGAAGAGGTCTGCTTCTTCGGGGGTGAAGTTGTTGATTGGCGGCATAATCTGCCAGGCAGGTACAAGCTTCTCCACAGGCGTGAAACCGGTGGTGTCCTTGAAGAATTCGTTGTCCCGGTCCTCCTGTCTCCAGTACATCTCGGGAATGACGGCTTCTTTCTCACTGCGATACTTCTCTTGCATGGCGCGTTGTTCCCTCTCTTTCCGTTCTTCGTCTTCCCTCATGGATGCTTGCAAAACTCTCTCTAGG